AATAAGGGGGAGAGGCCTGGCCAGGGCATGGGCGTGGCTTGGATAGGCTTGGGGGTGGGGCTACGCTAGAGGCAGGGGAAGAGCCCCAAGAGACCAAGAGGCGCGGCGTCAGCTCCGGTCCGCAGCTTCTCAGGGGCGGGGATCTGCAGAGCATTCTGCGAGTGGAGCCGAAGCTAGATCCGCGCTTTGTTCCGGTTGCTCCTAGGCCCTCCGGCGACTGGGTCCATTCCTCGCCTCCCAGCTCTCTCCTCCTGCCCACCCCTTGCATCTGGGCCTGCATCCCCTTCCCCAACCGCTTCGTCCCCGAGCCTGCCTTCTTCCCTTTCCTAAACCTCTGGCTACCGCCTTTGCCTGGTACCCTTCTCTCCATCCCTCCCTCCTACATCATCTTCCCTCCGGTCCCCTCTCGGGTCCCTCTTTTCGCTAGGTCCAGGTCGCTCCGCCCTGCCCCGCCCCTCCAGACCAGGGATGTCCCCTGCAGCCCCGCGCCGATGGTCCTGACGCTGCTCCTCTCTGCTTATAAGCTGTGCCGCTTTTTCGCCATGTCGGGCCCACCGCCCGGCGCCGAGCGGCTAGCGGTGCCGGCGTCGGACGTGGGCAGCGGCGCGGTCCCATGGTGGGCCGCAGGCGGCCGCAGACCCCGCGAAGTGTCGCCTGGGGCTGGCACCGAGGTGCAGGGCGCCCTGGAGCGCGCGCTGCCAGAGCTGCAGCAGGCGCTTTCGGCGCTGAAGCAGGCGGGTGATGCGCGGGCCATGGGCGCCGGCCTGGCTGAGGTCTTCCAGCTGGTAGAGGAGGCCTGGCTGCTGCCGGCTGTGGGCCGCGAGGTAGCCCAGGGTCTGTGCGACACCATCCGCCTGGACGGTGGTCTCGACCTGCTGCTGCGGCTGCTGCAGGCGACGGAGCTGGAGACACGAGTGCAGGCCGCGCGCCTGCTAGAGCAGATCCTGGTGGCTGAAAACCGGTGAGGGGGCTGGGCTGGGAGGGTGTGGGGCAGAGCGGCGTGTGATATGGGGCAGCAAGGGTAGTCGGGTGCCTGGGTCTCCCGTGTGCCTTGCACTGTGCCTTCCTTTCCTGCCTCACCTCACTAAATCCCTGCAGTACACCTCTGGTGGGCATCAGCGTGTCCATTTTACAAATGAGAAAACTGATGCTTGGGAAAGTTTAGTAACTTGCCCAGCATGACACAGTGAGCTAATGGTGCAGCCAGGATTCACTTCCAGGGCTAGTGGGGTGAGGAGAGACACAGAGAGGAGGAATGACCTGTGAGGACAGGAATCTGTCCCAGGTTCTGAGGATGGAGATGAGATCCTATTGCCAATGCTCCCCTAAACCCACAGCCCTCCTCCCCACAGGCCTCAGTGCATTTCCATGCTACTTTCTCTCTCCTGTATCATCTCCTTCCCACTGAGAGAGGGAGAGAATACAAGGCTCAAGAAGTGGGTGGAACCTTCCCCTTTCTTCTAACCCAGGCTGAAATGGGTGCTGACCTAAAGGTAACTTTCCTCCTTTATGCTTCCTCCTTCATTTTGGTCCACATAGCAGGCCAGACATGATCTCATTCTGCGGCTGCTGATGAGGACAGAAGGTATTCTGCTGGGATGAATGAGTCGGGGAAGAGGAAAGTGAGGTGCGGAGCTAGACAGGGGCCAGATAGAATGTGTTTTCTTCACTCCTTCCCCACATGGTGTCAAGATACAGTAGCTGGGATCTACTCTCTTGCCTGCCTCTTGAGATCTCTCCTAGAATATGAAAACCTCTGAGCCCTCACTTCCTCTCTCCTCTGATTCCAGAGGAGAACAGGCTGTCACACACCAGTCTCATGCTGAAGTCTCAGGCCCCTCAGGTTTAGAAGGGTTTTGGAAGGGTCACTTTTAGTTCATGCATCTCACGCTGGTGTGATGGTCATAGGTTAGGAGTGCTTTCTCGCAAATTTCAAAAAGTAAAAATAACCTTGTGGATGGTGGAAATGATACAACTCTCAAAAGTGCACAAATGAAGCAATTTAAATTGGGAGACCAAGTTGGTGTTTTGCTTGTTCAGAAAGTCATTCATCTTCCATCTAATATCAGGTGCCCTGATGGGAATGGACCACAAATTCGGAGGGCTAGCAAATGGAATCAGTGCTCACTGAATATGTGGGCCCAAATTGGCAGGTGTGTCCTGTAGGCCTGGTATGGGATGGTGCAGCTATAAATAGAACTCCTGGGGAGCAGATGCAGCACCCTAGGAAGAGGAGGGCTGCAAGACACAAATAGTGCTGATTTTTTTCAAGGTTGGAAATAACAATTCTCATGTGGTTCAGAATTACTGAGAGAGGCATCACGCTAACCAGTGTCCCTGGTCCGGAGAAACAGCATACTAGTTCAGGCGTTGGTTCACTCATCGTTTCAGGACCAAGGACAGAGTTCAGCTGCACCTGGTCAAGAATGAAAATCCTTCCTAAGAAAGACAGCATGTCCTCACTCCTCTAGGCTACGCCTGGAGGAGGCTGGAAGGGAAAGATGAGGAGCGACAGAGAATTTGCGTTTATGAAATCTTTTCCTTCCTCCACCAACCAACTTCCTCTTAAAGATGGTTCTTCCATTAGTGCACTCCTTTTGCCATTTCGTTTTCTGCAACATTCTTCTTCCTAGTGTGGTGCCACACACACAGCCCAGGAGTCTAGGTGACAGCTTCTCTCACCCCCAGATACCAGGAGAAGCCCAACGGGATGTCTGAGCTTGTCCCACAACACTCAGTGAGGGCCCCGTCTGACTGCTAGCCCTCTAAATTCATAGCTCAGCCCTTCAGGGGACCATAATGAGGTTAAATGGTTTAACTCAGAGAGGTTAAATGGCTTTCCCAAGATACATAGTAAGTTAGTGGAGGAGACAGTTTAAAAAAAAAAAAACTATTGTCCATAAATTCAAAAAGTGCAAAGGTACAAAATGATATGTATTTAAAAGTTCTTTCCACCCACACCCCCTCCCTGGAGACAAACCAGTGAAACAAATTTTTTACATGTCTTTCCAGAGAAACTATGCAAGTATTTGCATATATATGTATATATACATGCTTGTATATGTGTGTATATGTACAGTTCCCCCCTCTTTTAGAGCTAGGATTTAAACCCAGACACACAGCTTCTCGGGCTACAGAAGAATTGGGAGCTGAGGAAATGCTTCTCACAACAAACACATAGTTCAGCTTCTATAAAGGTGCCAATGCATAAGGACAGGCGAGGGCTGGGGGATCAAGAGACTCAGGATAAAGTCCTCTCTCTGAACTGATGTTCCTGAGCAAGTCCTTCCCTTCAGCGGTCCTCAGGAAGTGAGGGTGTTGGGTTAGATGATTGCTTAAGCACATCCTGTTTCTGATACTCTCAGAGTTTATATAGTCAGATTGTTCTGGAAGCACAAAGTATAGAGGAAGGATCCTGACCTCTGAAGAGACAGAGGTGAGTTCAAATCCCAGCTATGCCTCTCACCGGCTGTGTAACCCTGAGCATATCTTGTAACTTTTCCAAGCTTTGGCTATTTCATTGGGAAGAGGAACAACTGCAGTGCTGGCTGCCTAAGTGGATGATTAGGACCCCTCTGTTCCTTTGGGCTGCAGAGAAGCTCAGTGATCAGCTCAGTAAAACTATGCTGGCCTTATGCCATGTTCTGGGCCCTACAGTGGACACAAAGTCACAGGCATTGTGGTCATTGTGATGCTCACCAGGCAAGGATTCCATGGATGTCTGGGTCCCTAAATCTTCAGGGGTAACATCACCTTTGAAGGACATCATTTGTGGAAAGTCAGGGAGACAGGAAACTTTCACTTCTGCCTGGAGTGTGGCAAGTCTCCTGCCTGCTCTGTTGGCCTCCAGGCTTTCTCCCTTGGACCTGTCCTCCCCACAGCAGCCAGAGTGAGTTTCCTAAAATCCATGCATGACCAGGCCGCTCCACTTCCTGAAGCTTTTAATGACTAGCCATTCTCATCAAGATAAAGTACGAATGCCTCAAGCTGGCTCAAAAGGTCTCCAGGACTCTTTTCTCACTCTCCCCTTGAACTCTCCACCTTAGTCACTTGCAGTGGCTTTATTGCAGTGTGGCTAAGGTGGGGACAGGTCCCCAATTATGTTAGCTCTCAGACACCTCCAAGCCTTTTCATACATCTGTGCCTCAAATGCAATCTCCCCTTCTCTTACTTAACTAATGTCTCCACCAGTTTTCTGATTTAATGCCATAGGCAACCATTCAATATATTTTAATAATTCCTATCTGTGTTCTGGTAAACTGTTTGTTTGTTATGTGTTATCATCTGCTCAGTCACTTGTAACTGCTCTATAGTCCTCCAGAGTGGGCATGTGCCCAGGTTACCTCTCCATTCTCCTAGGCTTGACACCAGACTGCCCCTAACTCCCCACCACCACAAATAACATTACAGTGAATGGCCTCAGCCATGTCCTCTTGTGGATCTGTGTGACAATCTCTTTGGAATATAAACCCAAGAGCCCTAATTTCATAGGGTGTGTATCGCCTTAAATTCATCTACTTATCTCAGCCTGCTCTCTAAATTAACTGCCCCAGCCTGCACCTCCACCCACAGATCTTCAGGGCGTTCATGACCCCACCCTCTCCAACCTTCTGTGTTACCTAGCTTCTGCTTTTTATCTATCTAATAGGTGTAAAGTCATCACTGTTTTGATTTTCACTTCTCTGATTACTAATGAGTTAGAGCATCTCTTTGTTAACATTTCGGGTTTCCTCTTTTGTAAACTGCCCATTTATATCCTTTGCCCATTCTCTTTTGGATTTACCGCCCTTTTTCTTATGGATTTGAATATTTATTTATATGTCCTATGTATGAATTCTTTGTTGGTTTTAGACATTGCAAATATCTCTGGCCCCCTTTCTATTCCTCAAACATGCCAAGCTCTTCAGTCCTCAGGGCTTTTGTCCTTGCTGTTCTCTGTCTGTTATGTTCTTCTCCCAAATACCTGCAGGCAAAGCTCTCTGGACATTTAACTTTCAGATGTCATCTCCTTAGATATATCCCTGCATCCAGGTACTCTCATTATATCACCTGGTTTTGCTATCATTATGGTCATATCACTATTATCCCTATTCATTCATTGTTTACTTGCTTATTGTCTATCTCCATAATAGCTGAGTATAAGCTTCAGTCACCCTTAGTCACTGTTAACTTCAGCCTCTAGCACAATGCCTGGCACACGCTAGGTTCTCAATAAATGTCTATTGAATGAATGAATAAATATACTCCAATCACACAACATGGAGTGAAGAGAAGTTTGAAGGCTAGGCTAAGAGTGGTATGCGTCAAGTGACACTTCAAATTATGATAAGCAGTTTATGTGGATTATCACATTAATATTCATACAGGCTAAGAGTGGTATGTGTCAAGTGACACTTCAAATTATGATAAGCAGTTAACATTATTAAGTTTTTCCTATGTGCCGGGCACTGTAGCAAGCAGTTTACGTGGATTATCACATTAATATTCATAATAACCCTATGGAGTAGGTATTATTAAGTTTGCAAGCAGTTTATGTGGATTATCACATTAATATTCATAATAACCCTATGGAGTAGGTATTTTTTTTTATCTATTTATGAGATGAGGAATCTAAGGTAGAAAGATAAAGGAAAATACCCAAGGTCCTGCAGCTAAAGAAAATGACAAAGAATTTGAAACCAGGACCCTGGGGATCTTCTCCAGAGCTAGTTCTTAACATTTTAACCAGGACACATACTACTTCTCCAGGGGAGGGAGTAGAGGAGGAAATGAGTGTGAACAGGATGGATCACCCTTATAATTAGAGAAGTCTGGTCCTCCCAAGCAAGAGGTGAGAGGGTGGGCTGGGAAAATAATGCTCTCCTTTATGTCCTATATGACACTAGTGAGGCCCAGAGAGTATAAGTGACCAGGCCATGGCCTCCACAGGGCAAGCCAGGCACCCCAGCTGGGGCAACTCGACCGTCTCCCTCTCACTTTCTCGGCAGGGACCGGGTGGCGCGCATTGGGCTGGGTGTCATCCTGAACCTGGCAAAGGAACGCGAGCCGGTGGAGCTGGCTCGAAGCGTGGCGGGTATCTTGGAGCACATGTTCAAGCACTCGGAGGAGACATGCCAGCGGCTGGTAGCGGCCGGCGGTCTGGACGCTGTGCTGTACTGGTGCCGCCGCACAGACCCGGGGCTGCTCCGCCACTGTGCGTTGGCGCTCGCCAACTGCGCGCTGCACGGGGGCCAGTCTGTGCAGCGGCGCATGGTGGAGAAGCGCGCCGCGGAGTGGCTCTTCCCTCTCGCCTTCTCCAAAGAGGATGAGCTGTTGCGGCTGCACGCCTGCCTCGCTGTAGCCGTGCTGGCCACCAACAAAGAGGTGGAGCGCGAGGTGGAGCGCTCTGGCACACTGGCGCTCGTGGAGCCGCTCGTGGCCTCGCTGGACCCCGGCCGCTTCGCCCGCTGCCTCGTGGACGCCAGTGACACAAGCCAGGGCCGCGGGCCCGACGACCTGCAGCGCCTCGTGCCTCTGCTGGACTCGTCGCGCTTGGAGGCACAGTGCATCGGGGCTTTCTATCTCTGTGCTGAAGCCGCCATCAAGAGTCTGCAGGGAAAGACCAAGGTGGGTGCCGCTGTGGAGGAGGGTGAGGGTGCGGTGTTAGAGAGTGTCTGGAAAGGCTTCGTAGAGGAAGGGACATTCAGCTGGAACTTGAAGTACACATAAGAGTCAGGTGAAGCAAGAAGGATGAAGTACCAGTCGTTCTGGCCTTGAAGGCAAGAAAGACCAAGCTTTTTAAGCAGAGGACACTTGTGTTTTATAAAGATTATCCTGGTGCTGCTTGGAGATGAGATTGGCAAGGGGGAGGTTGGAGGCGAGTGATGATGGAGGGTGGGACTAGGGCATAGAGAGGCAGAAAGAAGTAGATTCCAGAGGTGCTGAAGAGCTAAAATTAGGACTTGGTGGGTGGCTGGGTGAAGAAGAAGGAGGGGCTGAGGATGACTCCTGACTTTGGACATAGGCAACCCAGTGGATGGTGGCACCTGGGACTAAAATAAGGTGAACTGGATGAGAGACAGGTTGGAGTGGAAGAAGGGAAGAAAGTGAGTTCACTGGGACAGGTTAAGTTTGAGGTGCATGAGAAATGATCAGTCGGGGAACTCCAGTGGGCCATTTTGTCATTTGAGTCTGAAGTGTAAGAAGGAGATGGAGTGTAGACAGAAGCTTGGAGCAGGATATCAATGTATCAGCCAGATAACTTCCACCTGAGTCTCCAAGGGTCCCCATGCCTAGGGCCTGATCTGAAGCCTTTGCCCTCTGCTTTAAAGTACTGTGTGACCTTGAGTATCTGGCTTTCCCTCTCTGACCCTCAGTATGCCTCATTTTTATCCTCTGGAAATTTGAAGGATAGCACAGCAGCAGTTTGTACCTTGGATGTAGGACTAGTAATAGTTAAATTATCAAAAGTATGTGGGGTTTTTGTGTGTCTGTGTGTGTGTTTTGTTTTTAAAATATTACAGAATCAAGGTTATCCCTATAATGTTACCCTCCCTACTTTGCATTCCTCTAGAAGTTGGTGACAGCTGGTATACACGGACCACCCTGTCTGTACCACAGCTGTCATCTGGGGCTGCTCAGCAGAGTGTGTCTCAGAGATGATTGTCACTCATCATGTGTGTTCCCACAGATCAAGAAGAGACTGTGGTGTTAGGGGGTCTCTGAGGCCTTTTCCAAGGTCTTACATTCTAAGAGCTTCTTATTCTCCTCCCTGTGCCTGAGTTGGGCTATAGGAGGCTGGCTTTACAAAGCAGGTCATTCAACTTTGGGAGAAAGGACAGGAAGTAGGGAGTAGGGAAGTTTTGGGTCTAGGCAGCAGCCATCACCACTGGCTCTGGCACCCCTTTCCCAGCAAGGCCAAGTGAGTGCAGCTCAGTAAAGACATAGTGAGCCCCCACTCTGTGCCCCCACAGTGTGCCAGGTATGGGACTCCAGAAGTGACTAAAACATGACCCCAGCTTATCATCCAGTGGAAGTCGCATTATCAACTAAGAACAGTAGCATTCAGAGTGTGGTACAAGGTCTAATTGGCAGTGTGGGCCAAGCTGTGGCGGAATCAAAACAGGCTGCATGGAGTAGGTGCTAATCAATTTGGATTCCACTGGATGAATAGGATTCCCCAAAACAGGCCAGAAGAACTAAGGGTTTGAGAACACCATGGGCCAAAGACCAGAGGTGGGAGAGCCTTCATGAGTGGGTGTCTGACAAGTATGGGTTTGGGAAAGGAGAGGTGAGCTGGGACTGGTGGTCTGGGGCTGTACTGTGCTGGGCCTGGGCCTGGTGGCCATACTGAGAGCTCAGACTTCATCCCAGGACAGACGGAAGCTGTAGAGGGGAGATGTGAGGAGGAGCCTCAGGAGGAGGAATCCGGAGGACTCAGTGATTTATTGGATGAAGGCAAAGATGGGGCAGACGGTGGGACTTACAGCGTTGAGAAGAGGCGAGGGGAGGGACTGGGCACATTTGGGGGTGGGGAGCGGTTGGCGAACTGGTGGATCCAAGACACCCTCCCTCCACCCCTTCCTAGATATTCAGCGACATCTGCGCCATCCAGAGCTTGAAACGCCTGGTTTCCTACTCCACCAATGGCACCACGTCAGCGCTGGCTAAGCGCGCGTTGCGCCTGCTGGGCGAGGAGGTGCCGCGGCCCATCCTTCCCTGTGTGCCCAGCTGGAAGGAGGCCGAGGTCCAGACGTGGCTGCAGCAGATCGGCTTCTCCCAGTACTGCGAGCGTTTCCGGGTAGAGCCGCACTGGTCTGCCTCCTCCGAGTCCAAGCGGGCGCATCCCGGCGGGTGCACTAACGCTAGGGGCGACTTGCGTATAGGCGGCCGTGCCCACGCTCTTGGCCCACACTGCCGCGGCGCCAGGGTGACCTTTTGTGGGTGGGGAGCCTGTACTCAGCCACCACTTTCGGGGGCACTCGGCTCTAATCGGGGTCCCATCTGCCTCCACCACCCCCCGCCCCCACGGTCTCCAGTTCCTTCCCCTTGCATCTTGGGCTTGGGGTCCAGGGGTGAAGAGGGGACCCTCTTCCTCCTTCCTTACCTCTGACTTCTCTCCCAGGAGCAGCAGGTAGATGGCGACCTGCTTCTGCGGCTCACAGAGGAAGAACTCCAGACAGACCTGGGCATGAAATCGGGCATCACCCGCAAGAAGTAAGGAGACTCCTCCCCACCCGCCCCGCGCTGAGTCTAACTAAACACCCTCTCGGCCACTAGTTAGTCCTGAGTCAGGACCTCAGCGTCTTCTACTCCCTGGGGTACAGATTCTTTAGGGAGCTCACGGAGCTCAAGACCTTCGCCAACTACGCTACGTGCGACCGCAGCAACCTGGCTGACTGGCTGGGCAGTCTGGACCCGCGCTTCCGCCAGTACACGTATGGCCTGGTCAGCTGCGGCCTGGACCGCTCCCTGCTGCACCGCGTGTCGGAGCAGCAGCTCCTGGAGGACTGTGGCATCCGCCTCGGCGTGCACCGCGCCCGCATCCTCACAGCCGCCAGAGGTCAGCCTGCCCACATGGGACCTTGCTCCTGCCCCAACCCCAGCTCTGGAAGGACTAGGAGAGACACTTGGTGGTGAGGCCTCAGAGCCTCATTGCAGATTGATCGAGCACATATACGCTGTGCTAGACTGGGCTCTGAGGATGCAAAGATGAATATGTTTCATTTTGTCCTCAAGAAGTTCCCCGTCTGAGATGGGTAGGAGGATGGGTGTAAGGCAAGTATATAAAAAAACCAGGTGACCACAGCAAGAGGCATGCCCAGGACCCCAGGGGAGCTCAGAGGAAGCATTACCACGCTGTCCACCCAGGTCTAGGCTTTGGAGGGAGAGGATGCCTGACCTGGTCTTGAAAGATGTAGGGAGTGAGGGGGCTGGTAGCAGCAGGAAGAGCAGCCAGGCAGAGGGAGAAGCATATACAAGTATTGAGGTGAGACAGAGGATAGAGGATTCATATATGAGATATGTGTGGGAAGACAGGGGCCTTGTCTTGTTAGTCAACAGCTTACAAAGTGTGGGTTCTAGAGGTGTTTCATGGAGGGCAAAGTGGATTCTAGGGCTCTAGAAATCCTCTTTATTTACTAATTTATTTTACTATTTAGCTAATACTTGTTGTCAATTACCATATGCCAGGTACTATATTAAGTTTTTAACAGATATTATCTCATTAATCTCTATATCCATTCGATGCAGTGGACATTAGTTGTTGTTTTTTTTTAATTTTTTTAAAACTTCTTAAAGGATATAAAAGAAATATAACTTAAGTGTTCAGTTTGAAGAGTTTGGAAAAATGCCTACCCTGTGTATCCACCATCATAATCAAAGATAAAAAACATTTCCATCAAGGGTATTAATTTTAAAGATGCCAAAACTAAGATGTAAAACATTTAAATACATTCCCCAAGGTCATAAAAGCCATTAAATAACAGAAGTAGAATTTGAACCTCTGGCTTTCTGCTTCATACACTGACATATTTTGCCTGTGAGTGTCAGGTCTGAACATTAGGAGAAGACGGCTTCTTTTCATTCATCCATTTATTCAGCAAGTACGAACTAAGCTCGTACTAGGGACAAGGGACTAGGCTTTGACCCCATGCTTTTGCTTCAACCAAATCAGGTCAGCTTTTATCATTTTTACATGACAGCTCCCAAGAACACCCCAAGATTTTATCTTTAAAAAACAGGATGGTCCTACAGCAAAAATAATAATAATAACTTAAAAATCTCTTCTACGGGAAGTAGGGGACAATAAATGTTTTTTAAGTAGGGGGCAATAACATGCTTAGACTTGGAGTTTAGAAAAATTTGTCTGGTAGTTGTGCAAACAGCTACCAGACTGGGCAAGTGTGGATTTAGGGAGGCCACTGAGGAGGCTAGAGTTGGGGGCCTGGACATAGGGAGAGCCATGGGGCTGGAGTCCAGATGTTTAGTAGGAAGAATCTACAGAGCTTGGTGCCTGGTGCTGAGCACTGAACATCAGCTCCATGAGAGCACAGTTTTGTTATATTCATTGCTATATCTCAAGCACTAAGAATAGTGCCTGGCACCCAGTAAGTGTTTAGTAAATGTTGTTGAAGGAATGGATGAGGCAGGAGTTGAGGCCGACACCGAGGTTTCTGGCTTTGGCGGGAAACTAGGAAGAAGGATGCCAGGGGAGGATTTGGGATGTGTTGGATTCGGAGTGCCTGTGGGCACCTGTCTGTGCAGGTCTGGAGCTCTGGAGAAAGGGTAGGGCTGGAGGTGCATTTCAGTGTCCCTAAAATACAATGTCTGCCTCCTGAGTGGGGCTCACCAAGAGTTAGTGGCCTTCCTTCATGTCAGCCTTATCTCTCTACCTCAGTGACCCATTTTGGAACAAGCCACCCTGCCTGGGCTGGACTGGGCTGAGAAGGTTGGGTGGGCAGGGGATCCTGTATCTTGTGGTGAGTGATTGGGAGGGGCCATTGTTACCAAGCTATCTCTTGTCTCCCCCAGAAATGCTACACTCCCCACTGCCCTGCACTGGCGGCAAGCTGAGCGGGGACATTCCGGATGTCTTCATCAGCTACCGGAGGAACTCAGGCTCCCAGCTGGCCAGGTGAGAAGGAGTGAGCAGGCAAGCAGCCTGAGGCCTTGGGGTAAGGCCAAAGCAGTGATACAGGACCTCTTCACAGCCTCCTGAAGGTGCACCTGCAGCTACATGGCTTCAGTGTCTTCATTGATGTGGAGAAGTTGGAAGCAGGCAAGTTCGAGGACAAACTCATCGAAAGTGTCATGGGTGCTCGAAACTTTGTGCTGGTGCTGTCAGCAGGGGCACTGGACAAGTGCATGCAGGACCATGACTGCAAGGATTGGGTGCACAAGGTAGGTATTGGCCTCTGGTCCCACTTTGGCCTGTGGCATGGAGGACAAGGTTCTCTTCCTATTCCTTCTTATCTGCACACCCCAGCAAACTTCATGGCCCAGTTGGAAGTCAAGAGTCACAGCTCTGACTGTAATAGGACTTTAGCAAGTCACTTTGCCCTCTCAGCCCATTTTCTCATCTACAAAATATAGGGATAATTCACCTGTCCTATTCACTTTGTAAGATTGTTGTGAGGGTCAGGGAGGGATGAAACACTTTGAAATATAACTTGTGAGAGAAGCAGGCAGAAATGCATAGTGACAGGCACAATGGAATTGATGCCTAAGAGCTTGACTGGGCAGAAGTCCGAAGAAGGATCCCAACCCTGGAGCTCCAGTGACCAGGTTCTTGTCTTATGCCAGAGAAAGAATTCAAGGACATGACAAACAGCAAATAGGAAAGCAGGAAAGCACATTTTATTAAAACAAAAGTACACACTTAAGAGAAAAATGAGGGCAGCTCAGAGAGAGAATGAGTCTGCCTAAAGTTGTCTAAATCATGGGGTTTTATTTTCTTAAGGGCGTGGGATGTACCAAGGCTATCCAGCCTGCCTTCCTGTCTTGGTTTGTTTCCCATGCCACCTGGAGGGGCGGAGGTGGCCCAAGGCCATCTAACTTGTCTCTTGGCCTTGGCTTGTTTCTCATGCTAGATAGAGTCTCAAGCTTGAAATCAAAACAGAGAAAGGCTGAGTAAGGGACAAGAGAGAAATTCCAGAGCCATAGGGAGAGGACTGAATAAGGGACCGAGGAAAAATTCCATAGCTGCATCCTGGAGGGGAGGGGGTGTTTCCTAGGCTAACTATCCTGCCTCAGAATCAGTAAGAGCACAAAGCTATGAGTTTGAATTGTGGCTCTGGCCTTGGTCAAGTTACTTAATCCCAATGAGCTTATTACTGCAAAATGGGATAATTATAGTATTGAACTCTCTAGGATATTGTTATAAGGATTAAAAGAGCTAAAATTTATGAAGTACTTAGCAGAATGTCTGGCTCTATAGTAATTGTTTTATAATGGTAGCAATTACTATTATTAATATAATTATTGTGAGTACTGCCACTGTTTAATTCACCATTGTATCTTCAGTGCCGAACACATAGTAGAAACTTATTGAATAATTGTAGAGTGGATGGATGCGTGGAGCCATACACATCTACAGGTTATTAATCATTAAACACGGAATAGGAATTGGAGCCAAGACTGAGGGATGTAGTAGTCATCTGAGATTGGGCCCTTGTCCTAAAGCAGCTAAGAAGACAAGAATATGCCCATAATGACTAGATCATATATAAGTTGGTGTCAGTGTACATCTTACTTGCCATAAGAGTATGGAGAAGAGAGAAAACATTAAGGGCTAGAATAATTAGGGAAAGTTTCATGGAGGAGGCAGAACTTGAGAAGAGTCTTAAGAATTTAGGTAAATGGTAGAGAAGGTATCTCAAGCAGTGGAACAGCATGAACAAAGAACAAAAGTAAGGACAAGAAAGGTGCCAAAACCTACATGCATCACTGGTATTGCTTTCTCCGTCTCACAGATGAAGAAACTGAGGCTCAGAGTAGAATATTTTTTCCCATGGCCACACTGGTGTAGAAATCAGAAAAGCTGGGCTTCGAACTCTGTCTTTCTGACTCCAAAGCCCATGCTCTTTCCCAGGACCTATGTTCCATGGGACAGATCTGAGGGTGTGAGAGGGGAGGTGGTGGGACAGAGCTGGATTCAACTGCCACCAAAGAGGATTGTCTGCATCTCTTCCCAACTCCACATTCAGTGACATCATGTTGGTAGCCTGAAGTCAGCCATGGTGGGAGTATTTGCACTAAGGAAATCAGTAAACACTACAAATTAGGGTTTATTTTGGCTGCGGTTTTTTTCCCCCTTGGAGAGCTAGTTAAACATTTACCAGCACAATAAAAATTATAGATAAAACTTATGGAGCCAGGTTGTGGAGTGCCTAGAGGCAGGGAGAAGACCCATGCTTAAAGCACTGGGAAAAGGGATCCCATGAGGCAGTGATGCCATGCCAGTGGGTTTTAGGGAGAAGTCTCTGACACTAGAGTGCAGTCCAGATTGACAGTGGGGAAGAGGGTCAAGCCCTAGAGGCCATGTTTTAAGGGCTGATTACTGGGCTTGGTTTGGGGAGGAGGAGATGCTGAGCCAAAGAGACACCCTGGAGGATCATGGCTGAAGGCCTGGAGCAGGTGGCAGGTGGCCTTCTGAGAGAAAAAAAGAAGCGCGTCTGTGAGAGCTCAATGAGAGCTCAGACCTTGCTTTATTCACACTATCCCTGATGCCTAAAACCATGCAGGGTACAAAGTAAGTTCTTGAAGAGTTTATAGAATAATTGAATCAATGATGAAACAGATGAGTGATTCTGATGAAGCTGATATGACTGAGAAAACCAAACATATCCACTAGGTTGACCAGGTCAGAAGACTCGACTCTAATCAAGTTTTCATTCTTTACAGCTGGATGATCTTGAATAAGCCATTTTTCCTCTCTTGGCTAGCCTATGAATCTGTTCAGTAACCAGTGATCTGTCTTTGGTTCTGTGTAACTGTGGAGGAAACAAATGTCTAAAAGTTCCCAAATAAATTGCTACCTGTGGAGGGTCAGAATTTATCCACATTGTCAGCAGAGAGGCAGAGGGCTTGGTTGAAACAATCCTGTACTCGGAATCTGAAGGTTTGAGTCGAGGCCTGGCCCTTCCTCAGCTGGGTGTATGTGCGTGACTTGGAAGCAAACCCCTTTCCCACTGTGGGCCGCCTTCTTCTCAGAAGAGGTTTCCCAGAAGCCAGCCAAGGTTGAAGCTCTGCAGGTTCTTTCCTCAGGAAGACTCTGCTCTACAAGGGTCTTGACACCCATCATTGTCCCAGCAGACTGCACGGAGGGAGGAGGCAGGTGGAGTGATGGGAGTCTTTGCCTTGGACCAGTTCCAAAGGCTCCATCATCCCTCTTTGGTTGTTTTTAGTGCTTAATTGCCTCTGGTTTTAAAACTCTTTTCCCTGAAGCCACATTTAGAGGGTAATCAATATGGAAAACCACAAGTGAATTACACTCAGGAAAATCCAATCTCTGTGGTTCCCTCTTGAAAGGAAAAAAAAAAAATCAATAAGCACTTTTCAGAGCACCCATTAATAGTAATAGCTGCAGAACAACCTTGTGAGGTAGTTTATTATCCCCGCTTTTCGGAGGAGGAAATGCTAACATTTATTGAGCATGCACTATGTGCTAGGTGCTCTTCTAACCACCTGTCACAGGATATCGCTGTTATTCCTCCCAAGGAGGTTTTGAGAGCCTGTTGTTTTTGCCTCAGGTCACACAGCCTGTGTTAGAGACTTGATATGGACCCAGACTTGATTATGCTAGAGCGCAGCTTCTAACTGCTACGCTGTGTTGTCTCATCTATTCCTTCACTCATCCAGCCATCCATTAAGTATTTAGCAAGGGCTAACTATGGGCATGGCTTTGTGAAAGATCGTGAGATACAAGATGAGTAAGAACCAGACATGATCCCTGCTTTTATATCTGGTGGGGGAGACAAATATTAAGTAAATTACTCATTAATTAATTTAAATTTGCAACTGTGGCATGTACTACAAAGCCTATGAGAGTCTACAGTAGGGGGATCTGACGTGGTCAGGGAAGTGAGGGAGTACTTCCTGGGAAAGTGTTGATTGGGTACAGACCAGAAAAATGAGTAGTCCTTAAATATGTGAAGGGGCAGAGAAGAGCGTTCTAGACAGAGGAAACAGCATGTGCAAAGACCCTGTGCAGGAGGGAGGATGGGTGGTCTAAGGAGCTGCAAAGTCTGCGTGGCTGGGAGAACAGTGCGTGGAGCTGAAGCGAGCTGTCGCCAACCACACAGGACCTTCAGACCACGTTAAGGACTTTGAAATTTATTCTGAGTCATGTACAGTCTTGAAGAGTTTTGAGTATGGGACGGCATGATCAGATGTGCATTTCGCAAAGAGTAGCTGGATGAAGGGGCAACGTAGAAAACAAAGTAGAAGGGGCAAGAGTGGATAAAAAGAGACCTGGTGGGGGCTAACAATAAGATGAGTTGGAACAGGGCTGTGGTGCGACAGAGGCAGAGAAAAATGGGTGGGTTTGAGAAATAAGCAAGGAGTACAGTTGGCAGGGCTCCTGATGGATCAGTTTGCATGCAGATATGTGATGTTTTCTTCTAACACCAAGTCGTGTGGGTTTTTCCCCACACCAACAACCAGTTCTCTAATTTACCAACACCACTGGGTGTCCCACAATTCAATTCAATTCTGATACTTACTACCCAGAGCAAATATCAGACTCCACAGGCTGAAAGGTTCAGTCCCACAGGTCTGCCCTCACTTCAGATGCCAGACAAAAGTCCTGGGTTCCTAGGCTACCCACGCTGCTGTCTGACTTGGCTACAAATTCAGGGGTTCCCACGACCCCCTCCCCAGGTTCAATAATTTGCTAAAATGACGTGCAGAACTCAGGAAAGCACTTTATTTAACCATTCTTGGTTTACTATAAAGGATATAACTCAGGAACATCCAAATGTAAGAGATGCCCAGAGCAAGGTATGAGGGGTGGGGGCACAGAGAGGGGAGGCACAGAGCTTCCATGCCCTCTCCAGGCCACCTCCCAACACCTGGATGTGTTCACCAACCCACCCCATCCTTAAGGGTTTTTATGGAAGTTTCATTATGTGGGCATGATTAAGTCATTGGCCATTGGTGACTGAACTCAATCTCCAGGCCCTCTCCTCTCCCTGGGTATGTGTGGGGGTGGGGAGCTAAAATTTCCAATCCTCTAATCATAGCTTGATCTTCCTAGCAACCAGCCCCCCATCCTAAAGCTATCTAGGCACCCCCACCCCCAGTCATCTGGTGATTCCAAGAACCTAGGACAAAGACCAAATATTTTTTATTATACCACAAGGGGTGAGGGAGAAGTCAAGGTGGACTTCAGGACCAGCATCCCACCCTGGGCTAAGCTCCAGGCTGTTGTTGGCCCTCCCAGTGTCTACCTGGCCCCAAGGTCCCTGGATGGAGACCTGGGTCTCTTCCTACTCTGTCCTTCTTTCTCCAGGAGATCGTGACTGCTTTGAGCTGCGGCAAGAACATTGTGCCCGTCATTGATGGCTTCGAGTGGCCAGAGCCCCAGGCCCTGCCTGAAGATATGCAGGCTGTGCTTACCTTCAATGGCATCAAGTGAGGAGGCGGGGTGGGTACACAGGCCCCTCAGCCACCGGCTCCCTCTGCCCTGCCCTCTGACCCACCAGCCTCTGTTCCCACAGGTGGTCCCATGAGTACCAGGAGGCCACCATTGAGAAGATCATCCGTTTCCTGCAGGGCCGCTCCTCCCGGGACTCATCTGCGGGCTCTGACACCAGTTTGGAGGGTGTTGCACCCATGGGTCCAACTTAACCAGTCCCTAGTCCTCAAGCCCTGCTGTGGCCCCCACTTCCATCGTCTTCCCCAAAGGAGCAGCTCCTCACACTGGCCTCTTTGGGCTGAGACAGCCTGGGTCCTTCTCAGGAAATGACGTTCCCTCTCCCACATGGGCCACCTCAAACCCAGCTTCATCAGTATCTGGAAAGGGAAGGGAAGCCAGGTATTGATGGTGGTAAGGGTTAGACCTCCCCTAAGCCCTGCTGCCAGGTTCTCTGTCTCAGGTGTGAGAGGGTCACTGCTCAGTCCTGGAGACACTGAAGATGGAGGGTTTGCTACACACTACCTCCTCTCCTGCCTTGACATTAGCCAGCTTGAGTAGCAGGGAGGCAGGCAGCCTCTGACGGGAGGTAGGACAATGCCAGCCCTCTCAGCCAAGCAAGGGCCTGGGCCAACCGAGGATGAGAATCCAGTGATAGCTATCCACCTAGACTATGCCTGGGCCCTGGGCTCACCACTTCCTGCCATCCTGTGGCCTTGCCTTCTAACCACTCAGTGCCCTTAGGCCTGGCCTGATCCCAAGTGCCCTCCTAGCCTTCCTGAGTTACAGCCTCTTTTGACACATCCTGGGTCAGGGTCAGGCTGAGCCAGCCGTCACTCTGGCTGATTTGCAGCTGCAGCCAGCTTTGAAGCACTCACTGGTACATGGGAGCCCCCTGCTTGGGCCTGGCCTTAGGCCTGGGCAAGGGAGGCCATGTCTCAAAGGGCAGCTAGCCACCCTACCCATGCCTTGGTTCTGTGCTTCCAGATCTTGCCTGGCCTGGCCCAGCTGACTTCCTCAGCCCTTCACCCACCCAAGGCTGCCCAGCCACTTGCTCATGGGGAGGTGGGGCGAGGCAGCCCCTGTGACAGCGGCAGTAGCCTGGGCAGAACCTGCAGCTCCATGGGAAGAGGCAAGGTCCTGAATAAGGACAAGGGGTGTGTTCCAATCACCTGAGAATTTTGTTAAAATTCCACCCAGGAGACCTGGGCAGACCCTGAGTTCCTGCATTTCTGATTCCCAGGTGAGCTGATGCTGGTGGTCAAGGAATGACACGTTAAGTAGCGAGTCTCTGAAACACAAATCCCTTACATATCTTCACCATTTCCCCGGCACCCCGCTCCATGGTCTATGTAATCATCAGAGCAACCCTACCCGGTATCATGTCCGTTTCACAGAGGAACTGAATGATGTGCCAAGTCATGAGTGGCGGCCCAGGATCCAGACATGGCCTCCTGGTGCTCAGTCCACTGCTGGTGGGACTGCTCTCCTGAGAATCATCCAGGAGACTGCATCGAAGGCTGGGCTGCTGCTCCACAGACAGCTGGCTTCTCACTAGCCCCAAAGAATCTAGAAGCTGAGGATAGGTTTTTGATCCAAGGGATATACAGAAATAAACGAGCAGGAACATCCCTCTGCCCCTTCCTCCAGGAGGGTAGGTGAGCAAGAAAGTATCCTCCCTTCCAATAAAGCCAGACCCCCAGCTAATGGGATCAGCTGGAACCCCGCCAGCCCCCTCGCCCCACCTCTTCCCTCCTGAGGGCAGTGGGTTCATACCTCAAGGCTAGCTCAGTTCCCAGAGTACCTCCTGCAGGTGCTGACCAGGTTACTCTTAGCTCTTAAGCCACATGGTCAGGAAGTCAAAGGTCTCTCATTCCAGGCTTGAGACTTCTTACTTCCATTCCCCTCCCTGCCAAAGATACTGTTTAGCTGGTCTTGACCCCAACTGTGGCTTTGACTGCACCTGATCCTCCCTCCACCTGAGTGCCCACCAGTGCCAGGCTCTGGATACAATGGTGACTGAGGCAGACTGGACGCTGTCCTCACAAAACAGAGACAATAACAATACAGTGTGATGAATATCCAAGGGAAGCTTTATTTTTTTTGTCCTTTGTCCTACTCCCTCCTGAGGTCCCCCATGGACAGTATTCATAGGTTTCCTGGCCCTATTTTTCTGTTTGGTTCACCTTCTACTGCTGCTCCTTCCTCTGAAAATCAGAGCCTAGCCCCCAGCCCACCCCCAGAATAGCTGAAGCGTGTTTAGGGGACTTCCTTCCCTGCTGTGACAAACAGGGCCCAGATCACAGTCAAGGCAGGCACCTTGGCCCCATAGGGCTGGTCCTGAAAGAGGACCGAGAAATAGCCTTTCCCTAAAAGCCTGCTCTGACACAGGTCTGCAGGGCCAGGGTTTTCTGCTTGGCTGGGCTGTAGCTGTTGCCTCTATGTCAAGCCTGAGTCAGCTAGGTCCCTACCTCACCTCACTCCACCCCTCCCCAGGGACCAGCAACTGCTCAGGGACACTCGAAGTTCAAAAGACCAGCTCCAACTATTTATCTTTCCCCCAGGCCCATTAAGGCATCTTATTCTAGAACATTTGAGGTGAGAAGGATCTCAGAACATTATCTAATCCAGTGTTTCCTAACTTGTCCAACCATCATCAGACAATGTGGAGCCTCACTGACCTAGCCCTTCACAGAGGGGTTTGCCCAAGGTCACCTGTGAGCTGGAGGCAGTGCCTGGAGTAGAGCCCAGGCCTGAGGCCAACCCAGAGCCTCTTCCCTCCCCTCCCCACTGCCTCATACTGGGAGTCAGTGGAGGGCCCTCTCCTTGCCCGTCTCCCAGTGACATGGGAATCTAGAAAAAGGCCCAGGTTGCAAAGGCCAGTTGACCCTACTTTGTCCAAGGCTATCCCCATTTTACGTGCATGATTTCCAGCCAAGTAACTGGCTGGCAGGGCTGGTGAGAGAATGAGGGTAGAAATGACAGTAGAGGGCCAAGCCCTGTGGCCAATTATGGTTTGAAGAGTCAAGTACCACTTGATTTGGGTCTGCCTGGGGACTTATGGCCCTCATCAAAGCCAGTGCCTTACTACTGAATCCGATATTGCCTTTCAACTTCGGGTCTAGCATTTCCTCATGCTTCGGAAATGGCACCCTCATTTCCTGGGAAGCTGGGACCCCTGGATCATAAAGGGAGCCAGGTCCATCTCCAGGTTCCCATTGACTTGCGGATACATGAGGGATGGTCCTAGCACATGGCCCTAATGAAATACCCAGTGATGAGAGGCGCTGGAGGGCTGAGTGATAACACAAACTGATTTTGCTTGGGCTGTTGTAGCCAGGAAGACCGGTACAGGTGCCTTCGGGGAGTGGATCCCTGACTGACCCTCAGGAATGGGTGGCCAGGGCTCTGCTCTGAGCCTCTCAGCCTGGCTTGATGCAAGTCTGGCAGCCCTTCATCTCCCAGCAGCTCAAGAAAGAATGGGCAGATATTTTCTGGGATGGTCAAACCCAGTACCAATTCCATGGCAGCTCAGCCTAGCAGCTTCCTATCTGACCTATGGTGGGCAGACTGGGAGCAGGAAAATAGAGAGACCCACAGCCCAATACTTTGGAGGCCAAAAGGTTCTTTTCGGTGTGTTTATACTGCTTTATTTATTATGATTGGCACTGCTAAGTGCAGGGGGCTGATTCCACCAAGTCAGAAGCACTCTCCCCCCACTCCCACAACCTTTTCTCCCCTCAAAGTATTCATCACAAAGGAGTGACTGGTAGCTAGCTGCACACCGTGAAGTGCACACTGTGAGCTGGGCAATTTTGGCTGGAAGCAGAAATGCCAGCCCTCATGCTTCCACTGGTCCCCAGGGCGTCACCTCCATCAGGACCTCTCCTCTACCCTGGCATAAAGGGTAAACAGACTCCTGTTCCAAATGGCTCCCCCACTGCCTCCCCTGGAGTCAGACTGTCTGGGTTACAATTCTAGATTCTCAAGTCATAGGCTGGCACAGTTATGGGTGGTAGGGGTGGGGGGGTGCCTTGGTACAGCCTGACCACCTAATCCAGGGTAAACACTGCCTCTTTTTTTTTGAATACCGCCTTTGAGGGGAGCTGCTGGTGCTGCTGTAGGTGGGATCCCAGATGCATACTTCCAGTTGGTTAGTGCTCACTTCGCTCTTCTTGGCTTTTGTCCTCTGGTCCAGGCAGGTCAGGGGCTCTAGGGAAACTACTGGAATTCAGGATGAGGATGAGTCCTTTCCAGCATCCTGTGAGAGACGAGAGAGACATTTTAGATTTGACATGGGGGGCCCTCAACTCCTAGAGAAGTGACGCGGGCTTTACTGGGTGGGCTGGTACAGGTATCCCCCGCCCCAAGCTAGAGGTGGAAGACAATGTCCAGAGAAGAAGGCTCTGGAAAGTGACTCTTAAGACTATGGGGGAAGAAGCCAGTGGGGCAGGCTAGCCTGTGGCCCAGCCACAAGCAGCTTCCCTTTAGCACATTCTGTCACCACAGTTCCATGTGTAAAATACAAATGGAGAGGGACAAGGGGGAAAGGACATAGCCTTGCCAAGAAGCAATGTTAG